AGTGTTTCGGCGAAGTTATGTGGTTTTAATGTCGGCACAATATGTCATGTCTAACTGAGTGAGTATTTGATCGCTATCGCGCTCAGAATGCCGGCTGGTAGATGCGTCTCTGCGGACGGGTCATCACGTCTCTGCGGATGGGCCTCCGCGTCCCTGTGGATGGGCCTCCGTCTCTCTGCGGATGGGCCTCCGCGTTCCTGCGGATGGGCCTCCGTGTCTCAGCGGATGGGCCTCCGCGTCCCTGCGGATGGGCTATCACGTGTCTGCGGATGGGCCTCCGCGTCTCTGCCGGTGGGCCTCCTCGTCTCTGCGGATGGGCCTCCGTGTCTCAGCGGATGGGCCTCCGCGTCCCTGCGGATGGGCCTCCGCGTCCCTGCGGATGGACCTCCGCGTCCCTGCGCACGGTGTGGTTCGGTGCCGCGGCCTGCTGCAGCGCCAGCAAATGACTGCCGGGATGTGCGACCGGTGCTCGTTAAAACGTTAGGACCCCGCCGAAATTGCCTCACCGCGAGCGGCGAGCTGGCGGCGATGGGTACTCTCCCCGCGAGCTGCCGGGTGTGCTCTCTCCGACTGTGCCCCCTCCCTTCTCTCGCCTCCCCTACTGTCTTTGCCGTTGTTGTGACTCCAGCACCTGTGCGGCTCTGCTCGTCGTCCTTGGAGTGCTGGGCTTGGCTCTCCCCGACCCGGCCGATGTCCGGTGAAGACCCACCCCACTCCGCCCCGCCCGGTGCTGACCGGTGGATGCTGGCGCCGGCCGGGCCGGCCGCCTGCTCGCCTCCACCGCCGCGCCGCGCCCCCGACCGCCGCCGGCCCCTGCATTCGGGACCCGCCGCGCCCCCGGCCGCCGGTCCCGTCCCCTGCAGCTGGGACACGCCGCGGCCTGGTACGCTGCCACCGGCGTAAGGGCAGTGGATGCCCCGTGTCGGCCAACTCAAACTTTGCGGCCCTAGCGATGGATTAGAAAGAGCACATGCATGACATATAGTCGTAAGGGATTTAGTGCACCTTGAAACGGAATATACGATGCGAGCATTTTTCAGGCAGATCATCTTTTAAACCTCAGAGACTTGTATTTGGAAGTGGGTCTTACAACGACAGGCGCGCCGTGCGTCCGTCTTATTTGGGGCGGCCGCCGGTGATGTGGCGCAGGCCGTCCTTGACGTGACCCGGGAGCGGCCGGCCGCCGGCCTCTGAGGGCGGCCCGGCCGGCACCAGGCGCCCGGCGGGGCGCACCTCGGCCGCCCTGAGCGGCGCCGCTCCGGTCAGCGGTCGGTCATGTGGCCGCCGGACGCGCGCGTCTCACCGCCTCTTGTGATGAACTCTGCAGGGCACGTCTGACCGGTGCTCATGGGAGCTTGTTATTGGTGCTGCCGGCACCCGGCGCTCGTCTCCGGACTGCCAGCTGGCTATTGATCCTGAAAGGCTGGACAACGTCAATTGAATGCCGCCGTGCGGCAAGTCATATGCGCCGCCCGCCTGTCCGACCGGCCGGCCTGCCGACTGCTAGCGCCGCGCTGTGAGGCTGGGCTGACGGCAGGGCCGGGTTAGACCGGCGGCAGGGTCAGGGTAGCCTGGCGGCAGAGTCAGGGTAGACTGGCGGCAGAGTCAGGGTAGACTGACAGCAGAGTCGGATTAGGCTGACGGGAGGGTCGGGTTAGAATAGTGGCAGGGTCAGGGTAGACTGGCAGCAGGGTTGGGTCACACTGGCGGCAAGGTCAGGTCAGACTGGCAGCAAGGCCAGGTTAGACTGGCGGCATGGTCAGGTTAGACCGGCGGCAGGGTCGGGTGCGACTGACCCGGTGGTGTGAAGCCGGTCTGACCTGGTGTCGGATTCGCCTGACCTGGCAGCTTTGAGTCAAGTGGCATGGGTCAGCCCATTCCCTCTGCCAAGTCACCTGTCACCAGTTGGCCTGCCCGTAGTGTTGCGTCGTATGTCGCACTGCTCAGTGTCAAGTTGCCTGATGTTCACCCGGTGCAGGTCATGGATTGGGCTGTCCCCGCCACCCTTCAAACGCTGGCTGGGAACAGCCGTGCCTTTTTTGCCCGCGGATGAGGCGCACGCCACTGGCGACGGTTTGAAGGCGTTGCCTGACACTGATAAGTCAAAGCACACGCTAGATCCATGTCATAACTGGACTCAGGTGCGGGGTTTCTTTCTGTTTACGGACAGCTGTTTTTGGGTGGAACACGCGACCCGATGTGGGCCCGATGTGGCACAGCTGGAACATACGCCGAGCGCCAGCGCGTGACGTCACCGGCGCCCGTCCGGAGCCGGTCCGATCGTGCTCATCCAACGGCTCACAGACGGCGATTGGAGAGTGTAGAGCGGGCCGGACCGGAAGCTGGGGTGCCTGCCAGGAGCGAGCCGTGTGCCAGCCAGCGCACGCTCATGTGATGTGAGGATGTTCCACGCTCTCGTAAACTGGTCTGCGAAAGCACGATTACGCTGGTAAAGGCTTCCATGGCATAACTGGAATGATTGAGATCTGCTTTTAGAAAGACGAGCTGTCGTTCGTTCGGATTATGTTCTCAGTGGGCATTAGTTCTGGCGATTGAGCATACCACAGTGACTCGGGGTCGGTCGTCGGAATGCGTGTTTCCTGTGCAGGAGACAGCACAGTTATTTGCAGCGATGACACGTTTAGGCATGTGGCTTGCCTACCCAATGACCGGTTTCCAGTCGATGACTGTCCGCGCTGTCCATATCATGGTGTCATAAAACACAGTATTCCGAATTGTTTACACACCGGCTTTCTTTAGGCTCATGACGTGCCGATCGCATCATAAACAACGAACATTGCCAACACACATGAATTATATTCCAAACAGCGCCTGTTGCACGCGCCCATAAGCCGCCACAGAAAGTACCGCTCTGTTTCAGCAGCTGATTTGCGCGGGGTCTTTTCGGCCGCGCATGAGCACGCGCGCGCAGATCGTGGTCCGCGTGGCTTACTAACGTTCATCGGTATGAATAGCATTCTCGCCACACTTAGTTTCAGGGAGGTGAAGGTGCCCGCGAAGTGTAAGGATTTTAACTGCGCAGACAATTGGATACTTACAATTACTGTATGGAGGGCGAGCGGCCGCCGATGGCGTTGTTGTATGGTAACGACCAATTAGCCGATGCTTCGGTTACACGTGTGCGGCTTTCTGTTGTCCATGAGCCGTATTGCCTTTGCACGCGTCGCAGTTTACATTTTACCAAGCATGTGATTTGAAAGGGTGAATGGTGTCCGCGCCAAGCGTTCGGACTGAGGCCACGGATGCTCGCGCGTGCTCATGACCGCCGGTCCATTGGGTTCCTAAGCATGCGTCAACGTTCTGAAAACCGTTCGGGGCGCGGTGTTTTCCGAATATGTCTACAAAGCTTTCACAGGAGGGCCGCGGGCAGGCGCGCTGCCGCAGGCACGGAATATTCCTCCCATATACATCCGGCTGGACCGCTAATGTGCTGCAGTGATCGCAGCTGCACTCCGGTGCGCGTCCCGGCATCAAAATAGAATCCTGCTCCCGCCGAAGCCTGCCCCGAGCGCCGCCCCTGATCGGCGACTGTTCGGGCGATTGAGCGGCTTCCGCTCAAAGCCCGCCCTAGTGGAGCGTGCTGTTGCATGCGCGGCGCGTGGGCGCGTGCTGCGGCGGCCAGCGCGGAGTGGGGACGGCGCGGCCGCGCCGGGTCCGCCGCCGCCGACAACGGCTTGGCACTCAGACGGGGCGGCGCGCCGGCGTTGGCTGTGCCCGCGGCGGCCGGCGCGGGCCCGGCCAAATGGGGCCCGGCTCGTTTCCCCGCGCACCAGCTGGAACAACTACAATACCGGCCGAGGTCCGCAGCGATCCAACAGCGCCGCCCAAGACGCGTAGCTTCCTACCCTCGTACGTGCAATCGGAGGCGCTTGCATTGCTGCGACCACACCGGCTCGTTCGCACCGCTTGCGGCATCGCATGGTCCCCCGTTGACCGGGCCGGACCGGACCGGGCCATGGGACCGTCCGGTCGACCGGCGGACAAGTGTGCGCTGCAGACGCGCCCACAGCTGGCTAGGACTGGCCTGACGGCCGGCACCTGCGGCGGCGCGACAGTGCCCTCCGCCCGGGCGACGAGAACCCGACTCGTCCGGTGACAGGAGGCGGCGGCAGGAGGACCGGTTTGGCGGCTCCTTCCTGCGCTGTAATCAAATGGACAAATCCGGGCTTAATACCTGGTTTTCGTCTGAACAACAACAGCAATCATCATCAACATATAAATATATCGTTATCAATATCATAAGTAGTTGACGATTTCCAATCCTGAGACATATTTTAGGAGAAGGTGCAAAAGCTGACGCCTAGTCCAGTTAGCGTCCCGTGAAGGAGGTGCACGCCGGGTTTTGCCGGGCGGAAGGGGCCGCCGCATGTCCCGCGGCCCCGAACCGACGCTGGTTAGCGCTGTTCGGCCACTGTTCGGTGGCGTTCGCGCTGTGCAGCCCGCTACCGAACAGACTTGCGTCGCACAGACACCAGCGTTTCCCGCCCGCATTGAATGGGCGCGTGGTAACCCCTAGCCCGATAGCATCGGTGTTTCATGGTGTACTACTCACGTGTAAGTGACGTCGACAGCTCTTATGTATGTATGTATGCGCTTTTTGGCTTCACACGCTCTGACCGCCAAACGTTGTCCATTGAACGTGTGGCTGTCAGATTGTCCATTGTCCATTGTGTGACTCGTTCATCAAGCTTGAATTTACAGATACATACAGGCATGCAGCGAACAATGTTTGGCTTCGCGTTTGGCCCATATTTTTGTCATCGAGTCGTTTTCAATGGTCACAAAATGCCTTGTCACTGACTCTGACGTCGCAGCGTACTCTGCTGGCCATGTAGTGTCTGTGTGCTGTTGGTGCAGCTGCCGCGCTGTCTGCGTAGCCGCGTGGCCGGCGCGCTGGCCGCAGCAGTGCTCTGTGTGTGTGTGTGTGCGTCGCTGCGACTGCTCACCGCCGCCGCTCACCGCGCTGTTCTCGCTTTCAGCCGGGCCTGGCGGCCATGGCGCCGGCGGCGCGCCAGCGGCCGGCGGTGGCGGCGCCAGTTCCGCAGCCCGCCGACAAGCCCCTGAGCTCGGCCTGGGCGGCGGCGCTCGGCGCCACCACCACCATGCAGAACGGCGAGAAGCCGGGCGAGCCGGCGCGGCGCGCGCCACGCCGCCCGGTCAAGGTGCAGCCCGACCGGCCGCCGCGCGCCCTCTTCTGCCTCGGCCTGAAGAACCCGCTCCGGCAGGCCTGCATTCGCATCGTCGAGTGGAAATATCCTTTTGATGGACGCCGCCGGCGGGGTGTGAAAGCGGGGCTGGTGTTGGAGGGAGGGAGGCTGGCTTGGTGGGCTGGGTGAGGGAAGGGCTTCGGGCGCCGCTGATGTAGGAGTGTGGGAGGAGGCTCCGTATCTGAGCAGATATGTCCCATGTCCCACGTCCCATGGAATACGTGGATGTGCGCCGTAACCTATGGCGCCCGAAATTGTCACGCGCGATGAAGACCTCGTGGTTCCGTGCGGCTCGTGCTCAGTATCGATGGTAAACGTTCGCCGGCGGCCCCTGCTAATCCCCACCCGAGGTGCCTCTGTCGCATCGGGCTTAATTTTCCCGCTTTGACTGACCAGAAAATTATGCAGCCCTCCAGAATTATACGAGCCCACTTGACATTCACGCCGCCGGCGTCGCTGTCGCCGTCGCCCCCGCCTTCCGCCTCCGCCGCCGGCGCCGCCTCCCGTAGCCGCTTACGTCACCGCCGCGATGGCGGTGTACGCTTGCGGACCTCATTCTGAGGCAGCGGTGGTGGAGCGGTGGCGGTGGGGGACGTCCCTGGGGATCGGGCCGGCGTCGGTGCGACGGGGCCGACGCAGACGGCGGCGGCGGCGCCAGGAGCGCCAGGAGCGCCAGTCGTGCGGCCCGCGCCGGCCTGCCGACTTGCCCCGCGCCTTCTCCGCGGAGGCACGCGAGGTGAGCCGGCCGCCGCTGTTCCCGGCTCCGTCGGCCCGTGACTCAGGCGCTCAGAAATACCGGCGCGGGCGCGCTGCACGATCGACGAGCGTCGCTGACGACGAGGCGGTGCTCGACGGCCGAGCGGTCGGGCTGACGCCGCCGGACGCGCCGTTCAGAGACGGCGCGCCATCGATCAGGGTCATCACGTGGCGCAGAGTGCCTGCTCCACTTGGCCCCGGACCGGACGAAATGACTTCTGCGCGGCGGCTGTTACGGGCGCGTGACGCCGAACCCCGGCGTGGCGCGTGCCGACGTGCGCGGCTGGGCCCGGTGGCCGTCTAGCCGCGCCGCCGGCTGCGAACGGCGGCCGCGCTGTCAGCCGGCGGGCGGCTGCGGGGCGTCTCGCCGCCGCCGCCGGCTCGGAATGAGGCCTGGCGACAGCGGCGGCCGCTCCAGAGCCGACCGGCGTCGGCCGAGTGGATGCCGGTCCTGGCACGCCACGCCGCCGCGCCGGCTGCTCCGCCGCCCCGCCGCTCGGCCCCGCCTCGCCCGCCCGCCGCTCCGCGCAGCGAGGCCCCGCCGTCGGCCGGACCTGAGAGCCGGGCTGATGTTGCGTGCCAGACGCGTGGGCAGACGGACACCTGCAGACATGCGAATGGGCTGGGAGTGCTGCCGCGTGACGGACGCGGAGACGTGCGGCGCGGCTCTGTCACGTGCTCGCGGAGCAGAGCGGCCAGCCGGCCGGACGGCACGCCGGCGACTGCCAGCCTTGTCCGAAACCAGCACAGCTGGTGACGAAGTGCGCTGGGCAACCAATCCACACTGACAAAGGAGCCTCGGGCACGCCTCTCCGCGCTGAGGACGGGACCGTGACGCACAGACTCGGAGCTCGGCGCCGCCGGCCGGCCGGCCCCCGGTCGCATGTTCGCCGCCCCGCGCTCCGCCCGCCCCCCCCCCCCCCGGCCCTCCGCCCCGCCACCTGGCCAGACCTGCCGTCGGGTGGCCAGCCGGGAGGTCGCTGCCAGCTGGGTGGCTCCGCCGGCCGGCCGGTCGCCGCAGACCGGTTTTAGTCGGAGTCAGGCCGGTTCTGCTGGCCGCTCCGGCGTGGCCACAGCCGGGCCGCGGGCTCGTCAGCGGGCCAACCTCCGCCTGCCATCCAGTGTCGACACAAGTTTCCCAAAAAGGCAGCATCGTCTTTTCTGTGGGCAGTTCCAAACTGGAAGGAAAACGCGGACCAACGTGTTTTTGCTATTATGTCCTCACGTCTTATTGCGTCTCCCCTTAATTAAACTAGTTCTCATATCTTGATTTATGGTACAGTGTTTTGTGCGAAACACTGCAGACCGTAAACTTGAAATATGCAGATCAGAATCAGAATCAGAACGCAGTCTGTGTATGAGTGTGGGACGGCGCGGCCGCCGCTGTCGCGGGTATTGTTCGCGTCTGGGTACAGTGTTTTTGCACCGCCGCTGGCGGAGCCCTTTCCATGTACAGCGCTTTGTGAGCGGGCCCAATTACACAGGTGTGCGCCGGTGGGGCTAACAATGGCGCTCGTCTGCGTCTGCGTCTCATTACGCGCCGGCCGGCCGAGCGAGCCCAGCTGCGAGCGGCGCAGCGGCGCTGCTGGGTCCGGGCGGCGCCGCCTGCAGGCTCGCGGGCGGCGCTGCTGGGTCCGGGCGGCGCCGGCTGCAGCTCGCGGGCGGCGCTGCTGGTCCGGGTGCCGCCGGCTGCAAGCTCGCGGGCGGCGCTGCTGGGTCCGAGCGCCGCCGGCTGCAGGACCGCAGGCAGCGCGAGGCGACCGCGGCTAGGGCGCGACTCAGTTGTGTCAGGCGGCGGTGTCTGCGGCTTAACGATAAACTTGGCAACGGTTAAGCAAACACTGATGTTGAAAGATAGATTCTTGGTAACATTGGAGCACAACGCAGGAATTATTGAGTTCATGAGTTGCACAAATGCAGTTGAAAACGTGAAGTGCTGACAGCAGAAGCAATGGTGAATATGTCTCATCTGCAGGGTCTGTTCACCGCGGTTTCTGGCCACCACCGCCCTGGGGCAGTGACTACCCCGGCATCCCGAACCGACCTCTCGCAGACTGTCCGTACCGTCGCCGCCAGGAACCGCGGCGTGCAGAGGCGCCCACAGGGAGGGGCGGGGAACGGCGCAATCACCATGGAACCAGTACAATGAGTGGGATGGAGCTACGCATGCCCATGCTTGTCAAGTCTCCGCGGGCGCGGCCTTTGGCCCTGCGAAGTGAACGTGTCTGGGCGTCCTTAGTCCGGTACGTAGTGAAGCGGCCAGCAGAGCCAGCGTGTGTTGCTGAGCCCGCCAGCCTACACGGCTCCGCGGCAAAAATTTCCCGACGACGCTGAAGAACTACTCGCGTGGAAAGAGCCAAGCTGGTGGAGCACCCTCGCGGCGCGACGTCTGCCCGACTCCCCACGACGCGTCGTTTTCAAAACCTGCTGTTAGAACAGCTGATCTGTCTGCCAGCGCCCTTGCTGGCTGCGCCCCTGTACTGCCCTACGCCGGACACACGTCTGCCTCTGGTACCAGCGGCCCACGAATGGCCGGCCGATGGTAGAGGCGAGCCGGACCGACCGTGGCGGCCGGGGCGAGCGGGCACAGACCGGCCGAAACCAGGAACCTGGCGGAGGAATGCTCGGTGTGAGACCAATCCTCCCGTAGCTCATTTATCACGACTCCGTGCTTTAAACCACGTTTGTGCTGCTAAGTCATGAATTGAAAAGTGCCTGCAGCATATTTCAATGTCATGGAGCACAGCGACTGCGAGATCAGTTGCCGCCAGGCTGCTGACGAGCCCTGCTCGGAACCAAATACTTTACCGTCCGGCATCGACCGGTCTAGATGTAGCGGCGGTTTGTCATGAGACACAGTCGCTGCACCCGTGGTGTAGGGTCGGTGACGCTGCACCCCTGGTGGAGGATCAGTGGCACTGCACCCCTGGTGCAGAATCAGCGGCGCTGCACCCCTGGTGTAGGATCAGTGGTGTTGCACCCCTGGTGTAAGGTCGACGGTGTCCACCCTGGTGTAGTGTCAGTGATGCTACACCCCTGGTATAGGGTCAGTGACGCTGCACCCCTGGTATAGGGTCATTGACGCTACACCCCTGGTATAGGGTCATTGGCGCTGCATCGCTGGTATAGGGTGGGTGTTGCTGCACCCCTGGTGTAGGGTCAGTGGCACTGCACCCGTGGTGTAGGATCGTTGGCACTGCACCCCTAGTGTATGGCGGGCGGTTCTCCACCCCTGGTGTAGGGTCAGTGGCTCTGCACCCCTGGTGGAGGATTAGCGGCGCTGTACCCCTGGTGTAGGGTCGCTGGTGCTTTACCCCTGGTATAGGGTCAGTTGCACCCCTGGTGTAGGGTCAGTGACGCTGTACCCCTGGTGTAGGGTCAGTGCCGCAGACCCGACAGAAGCGCTCGCCACGTGCGGTGTAGCCTCCCCTTATTGGTCACTGACCGGGTGTTTGTCAGCAGTTTGGGACCTCGTCGGTCCCGTGGTTGCTCGTTGGGTAGTGTATGGCCAGTCGGGCGCTGAAATGGCGCCACATTTGGCCCAGTGGGACCCGAATGTTAGTACCTCCAAGGTGCTATATGACCGAGTTGTGTGCTGTTCATTCGTTGCGTGTGCAGCATATCAGAATTGATTTTCAGCGGTTCATTCCGCCAATAAGGGCGTAAAAACTAAACCGTATCAAGGACAGGAATCAGTAGTAGCTTGTGGGATATTGAAATGCTTCCAATATTGGCATGTGAGATGACTGCTCTATCGCCTGCAGGGTTATAGGATTAAAAATGTCATCGATTCTCGCGTAATGCATGACATTGCTAACGCGTGTGAGTTTTGAATTCACCTATGTAACCTGAATTGAATACCCACGGCACCAGACGGGTTTTGTCGTTAATTTTCGGTTCAATTTGACGTCGCCGGCGAATTCGTTAAATTCTGCATCATTTTGGGTGCCAGAATGTTTAAGCGGGTGTTTTAAACGCCGGTTGACGCCGGTTAACACTATTAACAGCAAACGAAAGTCAAGAACGAAATCGCACGCTAAAAGCGAACAGTGCTAATCGACAGTTCGACAGTTTTGAACAGTGCATTGCCTAAAATTAAGCCATGTGAACACATTTGTATACACATTTTTGTACATCTCATGGTACATATACATTCTGCGAGGTGAAATTTAGAATCGTTCTTATTGTAGGACATGGGTCGCTGCATTGCCAATGTGATCGGCCGGCGTTAGTGGGCCTGGTTTCTTGCGTGACTCCCTTGGTTTCCGGTCCCGGCTGTCCAGCTGACCGCGGAACCCAGGGAATAATGAACTCACAGTAAGCGGATTTTCTTGGGTATTGATTATCACCCAATCACCGTCGTGTTAACGATCTCCGTGACTTCCAGGTAAATCTCACACGTATTAAACAGTCATGCTTCCATGTTGCGTTTCGCTCCGTTTGCCCGCTTGCCCTAGGCTTTGGTCTGTCACAGTCCCTTCGTGCCCTTTTGTCAATTTTTATGTCTTCCAGTGCTTTGGAACCTGTAACCGCTCACACTCATGCCATTAACTAACTGTCTAGCATCGTAACGTGCGCTATCAATCTTTATCTAATCACGGTGCGACCCATGCAAAGTCAATTTCTGCCAGCGATGGCGCGCGCAAAATTTCACCGTTAAAATTGCTTATGGATACATCATTAAACAGTTCGTAGGATTGTCCAGATCTCGGGCTGCCCATCTTCTGTGTCCGTCGGTTCGGAGTCACCCCTTTAAAGGCGCACGACACGTTCGCCTCTGGCCTTTTACGACTCGCTGGTCCCGTGGCAGCGCGGAAAGTGACGTGACGGCTCTTCCGTGACGCCCTCGCGACGGCGTCACCGTCGTCGGCGAGCCGGCCGGGCCGACTTGATTTGCCGTCGGCTGCGACGGGCGGGACTCGCCTGGCGGCTGATTGGTTTTCCAAGCTGGCGTGTCCGGTCGATGGCACGCGCCGCGAGCCGCGACCCCGGCGTCGAGGTCGCGTCACCAGCGGGGGGCAACGAGCTCGCCACCCGTGCGCGGCCCGCCGGCAGCTGCTGACGAGGCCGGCCGTCGCGTGGCGTCGCTGGCGCGCGGCTCGTGCGTCGCGCCGCCGCCGTCCGATGACAGCTCTCGTTCTGCCCGTCTCTCGCGTGTTCTGCTGGCGTCTCGTTGGGCCGCCGACGCTGGCGCTGGTCTGGCCCGGCGTGCGTGCGCCCCGCCCGGCGGGCGGTAGCGCGCCGGGCCGCCGACACAGCGCCGGCGGCCGGTCGGTCACAGACCGGCGTGTTTACTGTCCGTCTGCGGCGGCGGTCGGCCCGAGCCAGGCGGCGTCGTCCAAATAAAAAGCCAAACGGTGCCGCGGGCGGGCGCGACGGAGCGACGGTGGCCGGCCTGTTGCTCGGCCCGGGCCGCGCCGCTGGTCCGCCCCTGGCCCCCCGGCATCGATCGGGAGCTGCGGGCTCGACGCTCATCAGCGGCCGTATCACGCCGCCCACACCTGATACGGCACACGCGGCCGCGTCGCCACCAGCCGCTCCGTCCGGTGCTGGCGCCGCCGGAGCGTCCGCAGTGTCCAGCGCCGAGACCGTGTGCGCGGGCAGGACTGGTCCCCGCGACCGTGTGCGTGGGCAGACTGGTCCCCGCGACCGTGTGCGCGGGCAGACGGTCCCCGCGCACGGATCCACACTGACCTTGTTTGTCTGCCGTTTGCTGCGGCGGCGTCGATAGGTCGATCGGAAGCTGGAATATGACGGGCTTGAAACGCATTGCTGGTGCTGCCCATCGATAGGTTTTGTTTGAAGAGTGCCTTCAGCCGGCTAGTGAGATGCGCGTCGTGTTTTCTCCGTGCTCCCGCTCCATCACCGCGCCCCGTACCGAAACGTACTTATAAACAGGCAATCTCTAATGAGCGCCACATAGTCATGTACTAAGCACGCAATAAGCTGGTTGGTTAGAGCCGTTTATGATGGAGCGTCGGCCGTCTCGGCGAGAGACCACTGGTGCAATCCCTGGTGCAATCCCTGAGAGACTCAGGCAGGAGCTGTCTGAGAGCTCTTCACAGTTACAATAGGTGTATACCCATTTTACGATCTGCTTTTAGGAACTAGAGGCTGTCCATCCCTCAACCAGTGTGCCCCGCATCTCCATCTGCCGGTTGATTGCTGGATCTTTGTCTTGGATTTACACACCCTCCAGCACTTTCCGGTTAACTTTTTGCATACACTTGGCCAGTTTGGTGATATTTTCCGCCAATTCGCATCGAAACAGTGTCCTTCCATAAGCTAATGACATATGCCGATTTGGCGCACCGTCTCGGAGGTGTATCGTCATCCGCTTATGTTGTCGGCGTTTGCTGGGAAGCAATGTATTTGTATTATATCGCGGCTAGTCTTCTAATCAGCCTCGTATGCAATTGACATCCTGCCCTGGTGATGCAGTTCAACTTCAGCTCTTACTACTTCTTCATTTGCTTCTTCATCGCGCGAATGGAAGATTTTGTGGAGCTGCCAAAAGATCTGATTGTCGATATCAGCGAGGTTGTTCGCGATATATCAAGAAACTGCTTCCCAACAAATGCCGACGACATGTAGCTCGCAATTTACCACAAAAGTCCCAGCATATCGAACCTAATTATGAAGAACAATTGGGCAACAAATAACCCACTGCTGAAAATGGCCAACGAGTTTATGTCGGCCTAATGCTGGTCCGAAATGATCTACGGGCTTGAACGCCCTATCGACGACTGCGCACGTTGACCAAACTCATACATCGTCCAGGCTGCGACCCAACTACCAAGGCGGATGACGACGTACCTCCAGGTCGGTGCGCCAAAGCGGCATGTGACGTCAGCTCATACATAGCTCAAATAACACTGTTTCGATGCCGCCGGCTAAATGTATGCAAAAATTTAGACTGAAAGTGCTGGAAGCTGCTTATATCCGGGACAAAGATCCAGCAGTCCGCTGGCAGATTGAGACTCGGGGCACCCTGGTTGTGGGATGGGCAGCACTCGTTCCACAAATAGATCGTAATTGGAGGGGAGGGGGGGGGCAAAACCGGGTAAAGACTTAACCAGTGTTCGGCATTACATGGGGTGCTCTTTAGTTCTTTACATGATAACATCTTTTTTCATAAACCAAATAACCAATTTTGAGCTAGGAAAATGACGAAATGTAATTTTGAACCGACGCGACTACGAATGTTTGGCATATCGCTATATGTGGTTGTGCCTATATCGTCTGGTGATGCTGGCAGAACCAATGAAACGTTGCGAAATTGTGGGATCGATTTATTCGGAAAATTGAATAATTATCTAACAAGTAAGCCAATGTCAATATTGTATATGCATGTATATATATATATATATATATATATATATATATATATATATATATATATATATATATGCCCACATAGCGAATTGATTTTGCTTTGCCGAGGTGCCGTGAATGGATTATGTGTGCATGTCACTTTTGAGAAACTTCCCTCTATTTCCCGCGATAAAAGTCCAAAACATCAAGTACCAACCACCTGGTGTGGAATATCCCACGACCCCGTAGCCGGTCCTCAGTGCAGCCGGCCCACTGCGTGGCAGCTGTCCTGGCCCTGGCTGTGCCGTCCGCGCGCGCAGCTGCCATTGCCCGATGGACGCTGGGGTGGGGGTCAGGTCAGGTCAGGTCAGGTTACGGGGCCGGCGCTGTGCCCCGGCAGCCAAGCGGCGTGGCGACACGTGCCGGAGCCCGACGTCCGCCGGACTGCGGGCAACGAGGCGCGGCGTGGCGTACCACATCCGCTGCCCCACAACAAGATCAGCACACGGCTGTGGAGGGAGAGGGAGAGAGACAGAGAGAGAGAGAGAGAGAGAGAGAGAGAGAGAGAGAGAGAGAGAGAGAGAGAGAGAGAGAGAGAGAGAGAGAGAGAGAGAGAGAGAGGAGAGGGAGAGAGGAGAGGGTAGAGAGAGAGAGAGAGCAGGGAGAGGAGAGAGGGTAGGGAGGGGGCGAGAGAGAGAGAGAGAGAAGAGGAGACAGGAGAAGAGGAGAAGGGACGAGAGGAGAGAGAGCAGAGAGAGAGGAGAGAAGTAGAGGAGAGAGAGGAGAGAGAGAGAGAGAGAGAGTACGAGAGAGAGACGAGAGAGAGGAGAGAGAGGAGAGAAGGGAGAGGGAGAGGGAGAGGGAGAGGAGAGAGGGAGAGGGAGAGGGAGAGGGAGAGGGAGAGGGAGGGGAGAGGGAGAGGGAGGGAGAGAGGAGAGGGAGAGCGGGAGGGAGGTGTGTGGTACTCGTCATGCGTCATTACGTCGACAAGTGTGCGGGTGGATCCAATTATCATGTGTCGGCTGCAACTATGTGTTTTGCGCGTGGAGGTTGATGACCACCAGCTGCGAGCCATTGACCACCTCGATGTACGACGTGCCCGTCATTGTCTTGAAATATGCATCCCCGCAGCACATCTATCGTCGTGTTGGCGATATCGCTCGAAAACGCACCCTCATACGTACACGCAATCACTTTATCGACTATGGTTCTGCTGCATTCCGAGTAGTGGAAGATCCCTGTCCGAACTACTTCATCACGACGCCAAAGTTTGTAGCCGTCTGAAGAGCTCGCTCCGGTGGGCCGGGGCTAGCGCGCAGTTAGCGCGGCGCCCGATTGACCCCGGCCGCCGGCGGGGCGGCCGGTGACGTCATGGAGCGGGCTGGCTGAGATGCCACGCCGTCCAGCCAGCTGCAAACTGTGGCCTGACCTGACCGCAGCGGTGAACCTTTCCGACGAGTTCAGGCTCGCTTCGAGCGATGCGTGTCTGCACCTCGTTCGCCGTCAAGTGGCCGTTCAAGTGTCTCATGTCGTGTGAGGGGTGCTGACGTTCGTGCCGACCCGCGAGACGGTCCGCCTGTGCCTGCGTGTGTTAGCCGTCGTGATGTTGCGTAGTGTTTCGTACTGAGGAGGGCGCTTCCTTAACCGCTGCTCACGCCGTTCGAGACGCTCATCCTGCTGACGATCTTCGCTAACTGCGCGGCGCTGGCCGTGTACACGCCGTATCCCAACGGCGACTCCAACAACACCAACTCGATCCTGGTGAGTGCGCGCTCCGTCTCGGACGCCCCCCCCCCCCCTCCGTGTGGTGGATCTGGTCAGTCGGACGAGCTGCCCCCTCCCCCCCCCGCCGTGTAGTGAGTCTGGTCAGTGGGACGAGCTGGGCTGGCTGCACGGCGTGGATGCCGTCACCGGGGCTTTGTACTCTTCAGGGAGCCGTTGCTGCCTCCCCCAGTCCCTTCACCTCCCACCCCGGCCTTCCGTCTCCCTCCCATATTTTCGTTGCATCGATGTGAGTCCCAAATCACTAGAATCACTAACAAGTCTCTGAAAAACACCGGAAGGAGACTAGAAACAGCGATTAACGTAGTTGTTTTGGAGAATTACAGTATCCGCCCCCGCCCCCCTCACACAGCCCCAGTGCCTGTTGCGGAGCTCCGCTGACGTGAGCTGCTAATTCGATGGACGTTGTGTGCCTGTTTAGAGGCCAGGATTCCGAACAGGCCGTGTTTGCGCCGCTCTGTGAGATGATGCATGTGCGTGCGCGCGCATGCGTGCTGCACGGTGGGGCGCTAAGTTCCCGCCTCAGTCCCAGCACGCGAGAGCGTGCAGGCGCTTTGATTCTGCGAGTCGTGTGGCTGGTGTCGTGTGCAACTCAGCAGGTCGTGTACCTCTCCCTTTGGGGGGGGGGGGGGGGCGACGACCTCGCATTCTTGTCTGGCTCGGCCTGTCATTCGTAAAACGTACGTCACACTACGTGATGATGTCCGAGACGTAGACCAGGCGATACACTTAGCAGCGCGATGTGATTGATTACTGGCCGCAAAGCTCATTGCGGTCCATGACGAGACCTGAAGGTGATTGGGTTTGTGTCATGGGTGACATTAGCCAGCGACATAGACAGATCGGGTCATGGCCGTCGCGGTTTTCTCCTCTCATCGTGCGCCATAATGGCATTAATATCACTTCTGTGGGTTACAATGGCCGCTCATCTCATGTCCCAAACTAATGCAAGCCTAACATGGTTATGCCAACGCGTCCCAGTTCGAATTAGGAGTGACTGTCGACCATTTCGGCGTCCTGGGACTTAAGCACGCATTCTTCTGTCGCCAAGCAGCCGTGTCCACCCAGGAGTGCGGTCCTCTCCCCCCTTGGGCAGCTGTTGGAGCCTCGGCCGGGCCGCCTCGCGCGCGCTCGCCCGTCGCCCAGCCGTCCTCGCTGCTCCCGGCCGCTCCGTCCGTGCTGCAGTGGTGCTGGCCCGCTCGGTGCCAGCGCCGCTGGAGGGCTGCCAGCAGGGGGCGGGGCTGAACTGGGGCCGCCACGCCTCGCCAGTCAGCGGGATGTGCACGGACAGGGGCCGGCCGGTGGTCTGCAGGCGGTCTGGACGGACCGGCACCAGCGGGGGGTCCGCAGGCGGTCTGGACGGACCGGCACCGGCCGGTGGTCCACAGGCGGTCTGGACGGACCGGCACCGGCCGGCGGTCTGAGCTGACCGGGACCGGCTGCGGCCTCGTCTCCGGTCTCCAGCTGGAGTCCAGCGTGTGTTCAGCCGTGTCGGGATCCGGAGCAGTCGCTTGTGGCCCGGCCGTCGTGGCCGGTTGCCGGTAGCAGCCTGCACGCGATCAGGTGTTGACACGCCTCTCGCATTAGAGCCGGAGCGGCTGCCGGTGGTGCCGTGCTGCGCCCCCCCCCCCCCCCCCCTCCATTTCCCGCTGCGCTGTGGTCGCTCCAGGTGCCAGCAGCTACCGGCGGCGGACGCTCTCCTCGCGCGGCGTTCAACGTGCCCGTAGCTGTGCTCGAAATGCTCGTGCCTCGGCCACGGGAGACGGGTGGAGGTGCCTGCTGTGACGCGTCGGGCCAGGCAGGGATGCGTCGCGGGACCGTCTGTAGTATGCCGCGGACGAGGTCTCGGCAGAGGCGGCTGGAGTCCTAGAGAGCATTTCAAGTGACGAGAACGTGTGCCTTGTTTCCGCACGTGGTGTGCCTTGGCCTAATCGGCGTCGGGGTGAACTAGTCGGCCGTTAGATTAGATAAGGAAGACACTGCTTAAGGAAAATTTCACAAGTGTGTGATTTATGAAAGGTAGCTATACGGGTCACAACTGTTTCGCCAGGACAGTTCCATTTCATAACTATACCAGGTATATTCAGTACATTCTGGGAATCCTCGACTCCCGCACCAACTATCCCACGAGTGCCCAAGAATGCAGCGCTTGTGCGATTCTCCACCTGGACGCCTCGCGCACGGGGTCCACGGGGACTGCCCCGCAGGATTCCCCACGGGGACGCTGCTGTGGCGCGGCCGGGCCGACTGCTGCGCGCTCGCTTGGCCAGCTGGCAGTGGACAGGGCGCGGGTGAGGGCCGAAGCGCCAGCTAGCGCGGGCTGAAGTGGAGCGCCGCCGGTCGGGCCGGTCGAGCTGTCCTCGTCCGGCTCCCGTCGGCCGCCGGTCTCAATACTTGATGGGCCGGCCGGCGGCGGCGCTAGCCGTCACCGACCGGCCCGACTGCGCCCCGGTGGCCGCTCGCCCCGTGTTGGACGTGCGACGGTGGCTGCCGAGGGCTGTCTCCTGTGTGGTAGAGCCGCGACGTCGCTGCCGGCGTGAGCTGCCGCTGGCGAGGGCGTGGTGGCGCTCTGCACCAGCGGTAGGCCTGGCTTTCGGTCGGCTGTGCCTTAAAATACAACAAAGGCTGACAAGGAGGCAGCCGTGCCCGCGCGTCGCGCTCGGCTTGCGTGCAGCTGTACCCACGTTTCGTGCGCTGCGTGCGTGCTGGTGGATGTGCTTGATCTTGCTCGTTGCCGTGGTGTTTCCTTTTGATGGCCGACTGAAAGGACTGACAGAGGCGCCGCTCTTCCCGGTGTAGGGCCGTAGCGTCACATAATGACACGGTGGGACGTCATTGCTGGGCTGAAAGGCATTCCAGTAAAGTCAGAGTTCGTGTTTCTAGCGCCGCTCTCTGCCGCCGATAGAGGAAGTAATTGAGGAGGCTTTCAGACGTCAGGGATCGTTACAAGGAGAAGTCACTCGGCTTAGAGATGTGATCCACGGCCATGATTGGTCTTCCCGAGGCTGACCGTGCGCCGCCGGCGGTCATCCTCTGGCGCCCGCGTCCCGCCAGGTCGCCGTGCGCCGCCGGCGGTCATCCTCTGGCGCCCGCGTCCCGCCAGGTCGGCCGTGCGCCGCCGGCGGTCATCCTCTGGCGCCCGCGTCCCGCCAGGTCGGCCGTGCGCCGCCGGCGGTCATCCTCTGGCGCCCGCGTCCCGCCAGGTCGGCCGTGCGCCGCTGGCGGTCATCCTCTGGCGCCCGCGTCCCGCCAGGTCGACCGCGCTCACGCCGGAGGGCGGCCGGGCCGCTCGTGCATGACCGGCGCCGCCGGCCGTCGGAGAAAGGTCAGCCGGGGGCGGCCTGAGCCGCGCGTGGCACGCCATCTGGTGACCGGCCGGACGCTGCTGCCGGCCAGCGGCGCGCCGTTGCTAGGTGGACTTGACCTCGGCGGCCGGGCTTCGTTGGGCCGGTGGGCCAACGCCGGACCAGGCGGGGACGACGCCCCCCAGCCTCCGAGCCGACCTCCGCTGCTTGTAACGGGCTGTCCTGCGGCCTTGTACGGCGTTCCTCGTACGCCCGTGTCCTTTGTTGCCCTGAGATCCACCGATCCTCGTTATTACTCATCGTAATTTGTCTTGTTAGGAGGCCCTCGGCGTTCATACCCAGAGGTGACCGCAGTGTCGCTGGCTGGGGCGGCGTTATCCCGCGAATTGGGGGGATCATTCTTCAGTTGCTGGCGGCCTCTGGACAGGACCCGGCCGATTAAGAACTAGCGAAATGAGATGGGGGACCAAAGGACCCTCACCTGTATTAGAAGCGCCATCGTGCTGGCATTTGCATAACACCTGCACTGACGCAGATGAGATGAGTGTAGGTACTTGTTTTTCACGTGTTAGGGAAAACTGCTCTTGCGGTCGCGTGAGCCGCAAATAGCTTCAGACCAATATGAAAGCCGCTCAAATGCTTAGGCTTCATATTCGTTACGCGATCACCAGTATACTGCGCACTCAGCTGCAGCCGCACGCAAAGGGCATTGTCAAAAATAGGTCGCCCGCTTCTGCCTATAGCATGTGGAATGGCCATATACCGGAACGTAAAGTCACGAATCATGTGGAAGAAAAGCAGAGAGACGGCCCAGGGAAGCACCACCAGTCCGATGAAACGGCGCGCGGTGAATTTGTAGTCAGGAGTACGTGAATAAATAAGAGCTTGGACAGGAGGCGAAGGTGAACACCCATGTTCCTCTTCATTAGGTTATGTAGATGGAAGGTAAAGAGAAAAATTGAACTATGGAGTTGCCTGTGAAAGGACGTTATAAATGTAAAGACATAAGAAGAGAGTTAGTAAAGACGTTAGTTAAAAGCGTGATTTTTGGATGGAGCCCATCCTAGTTCTGTGATTGAGCCGCGCGCGTCTTGGGCAGAGATGTAAATACTAATGTCCATGTAGTCTCTGTCACTCTGTAACGATGGCTGAGAGTTTTGGTGCAGCAACTTCGAATGGTCATACAGCGCCCAGACTCTCAATCTGCAGAAAGGCTGAGAACGTCTTGGATCTTGTTATTGTTGTGAGCATCGGACATATGATTATAGTTTAAGTTCCAGTTCAAATAGTTTTGTATGAGACAGTTTTAAGCACTTCGTCAGCGTTTTGATGCGATGTCACAGCCCTGGCAGTCCTTCCCTTGGCCGTTAGCATTACGTTCACCATATGTAGTGATGTCATATACCGTCGCACCGGTCCTTCCCTCGGAGGAGGTTACCCAGCTGTAAAGAATACGTCATGTTCCGTTGAATCTGGGAAGTAAAGGGCCCCCCACGCTAGCACATCAGGTCCGATGTATTCTTCCGCGAACAGATCTGAAACATCAAGTGAAGCAGTGAGGAGCGAGGGGTCACGACATCCAGACTGTATAACAACTTGCCCTCAACTCTCAAACATGAATCGCATCGCTAGCCCCACTTCGTGGGAAGCCGGCGCACTCAGTACCACCAGCTGGGCGCAGCCATGGGTACCCTCGCCGCCCCCGCTGCCGCTCCGCCGGCCTGCCGGCCCGGCCCGAGCGGCGGCGGCGGCCGCTGCTGGGCCCGCTCGGCCCGGTCGGGCCGTGCGCCCAGCCGATCCCAGCCGGCCAGCCGGATGTTGGCGTTACGCGCAGGAAATGAGCGTCATTGCCGGCCCCGGAGCCTGCGTCGCATGGCCGCCGCCGTCGGGCTCGGCTGGCGATGGGGGCAGCCCGGCCGGCTCTCCTCCGACCCGCAGCGTGACCGGTCTGACCCCGGTCTGACCTGTGACCTCTGTCTGATTATGACGCCGACCAGGCCTGTGACCCCGGTCTGACTCGTGACCCCGGCCTGACTGTAACCCCGCCAGACCTGTGACCTCGATTTGACCTGTGGCCCGGTCAAACCTGTGACCCCGGTCTGACCTGTGACCCCGGTCTGATTAAGGTCACGGACTGACCTGTGACCCCCGTCTGATTGTGACTCGCGTCGGATCTGTGACCTCGGTTTGACCTGTGATTGCCTTTGTCGGTTTGGCTTGTTTAGCCCCGGCCTTGTTGTTCAACTATGACGTCATGTTTCTCGTGCATATGACGTCATGTTTCTCGTGCACAGCAGCACTTGCACGCGTTTGACGCGATGTCGTGTTCTGAGATTCTACGCGTAGGTATGCGCTGGGTCCTACAAATCGTTGGCTGCGTTGCGATATTAAGGAATGGCGCAGGGGAGTCGGCGGCCTGATGTATGAGAGCCGCCGCTGTGTCTCCTGGGACGGCGGCGACGGCGGCGGGCCGGCTTGCTCCGTCCTACCCCAGGCGCCACGCGGAATGGCGATGTCGTGATGCCGCCGGCCCCTGTGGACCCGGACCGTGACTTCCCAACCCCTGGCCGGTGAATGTCTGTGGGCCGACGCTGGCACGCGTCCACCGTCCGTGGCGCGCTGGCGGCCGACCGCCCGTCACGTGACAGCGTCACGGACGTGTTTTGACCGTAACACGCCGCTGGTGGTGTCGATTCCCGATGGTAACCGTGACGCGTTGCGTTTCAGGAGCGGATCGAGTACATTTTCCTGGTGATCTTCACGACAGAGTGCGTCATGAGGATCATAGCTTACGGCTTTGTGTTACATCCAGGCGCGTACTTACGCAATGTCTGGAATATCCTCGATTTTAGCATAGTTGTTATAGGGTGAGTACTGACCAGTCGTAGATGGGAGTGCGTTTTTTAAACTTGTTGTTGGCCTCGCAGCTATGTTATGCGTGCCTATGTGTTTGTGTCACCATTGTGTTTGGCATACTTCACCGTAAGGTAAGTTGTTGTTCGTCCTGAGCCCTTCAGTTTGATAAACGCCCTTTCCGGCCTGAGATATGGCGTAGGCTCTGTGTGCCACGTACCATCTTTTGTGTTTGCTAAGGTTGCATTGGGGCTAGTCTGGTAATATCATCCCGTGGTCTGCAGATGACTGTTTACCCCGTTTACGACGATGTACATGTCGGCAGGGGCCATGCGAGATATGGGCAGGGCGGTGGTGTATTGCGTTCCATAATCGCGCCGTGGTATCAATCATGTAGGCCCCATGCATTTCGTCGGACCCATGAGAATGTTACGACATGAATCATGCCAGCACTATGCATTTCGTAAGCATATGACCGGTGGGAAGGGTGCTGATGAGGGCGTTTAGCGCGGTCTTCTCCATGCATGCGGGTAATGAACTGTCTCGACAAACCACTTCAATCAACTCTCCATGCCAGTGCCTGTGTGTATGTGTGCACGCTCTCGCGCGCACGCGTGTTGTGCTCCGAGTGGGCCGGCCTGCAAGCATGGTCCGGTCCGGTCCGGTGGTCCGGTCCGGTCCGGTGGTCCGGTTCGGTCCGGTGGTCCGGTCCGGTCCGGTGGTCCGGTCCGGTCCGGTGGTCCGGTCCGGTCCGCCGTGTCCTTACCCCGCCGTGCGAGCCAGTGTGGCTCGGTCCCCCTTGCCACGCTACCCCCCCCCCCCTCCACACACACTGAGTCACACCGCCTCCCGCCGGCAGTATCGTCAGCACGGCGCTCTCTTCGCTTATAGAGGAGGGCTTCGACGTGAAGGCGCTGCGAGCGTTTCGGGTGCTGAGGCCGCTGCGACTGGTGTCCGGAGTACCGAGTGAGTGGCCGTCGCTCGCCGCCGAGCTCCGCTCGCCGCTGACCATAGCTTGCCGCCGAGCCCCGCTCGTCGCTGAGCCCAGGTCGCCGCTGAGCCTCTCTCGCCGCTGAACCTCGCTCACCGCTGAGCCTCGTTCGCCGCTGAGCCTTGCTCGCCGCTGAACCTTGCTCACCGCTGAGCCTCGCTCGCCGCCGAGCCCCGCTCACCGCCGAGCCCCGCTCGCCACTGAGTCCCGCTCGCGCTCGACGGCCGCCGGCCACCGGGACGGACCGGGACGCCACCTCATAACGCCGCCGGCCGCTTCTTGTGACGCTGCCGGCCGTCTCCCAACGCGCCAATTGACGTCGACGTGTCGTAGAAAGTGATACTGGATCTGTTGCGGGAGGCGGTTTCGTAACGGGGCGAGCGGGCCCTCGGCGCGCGTCAGGGGCCCCCCTGGCGGTCGGCGGACCTCGCCGGCGTGCGGCCGCCTCCCCCGCGTCCCGCCCGGTCCGGCGGGCTCGGACCTGTCGGTGGGGTGCGGGCGAGCCCGGCGCCATGCATTATTTGGCGCCGGCCGCGGCCGGCCGGTCACCGGCCCGGCGACTATCCGCCGGGATCGCGGCCGGCGGCGGGTGTGGCGCCGCTCTCCGCCATCGACCCCGCCGGCCGGCGCCGCTGTCAGCTCTGACAGGTGGGGCCGACGCGCTGTCCGGCACGGGTCACGCGCCGCCGGCCGCGACCTCCCCCGCGGCCGGCGGTGGGCTCGCCCGCGCGGCTCTCCGTCGGTCCCCCGACCTCCGGGAGGGGCGGGTCGCGCCGGGACGCGACGGTCGTGAATGTTTCAGCCCGGAGCGCGACAGCAATGTTACTGGCCCGTGTGAGGCGACGACGGGTCCTTGCCGCGGCTGGCGCTGGAGTCAGGAGGGACCTGTCCGGGGCAGAGGCGCCAGTCCCTCTCGAGGGCAGAGGCGCGGTCCCTCTGGGAGACGGAGGCGCGGTCCTTCGTGGGACAGAGGTACGGTTCTTCGTGGGACAGAGGTACGGTCCTTCCCGGTACAGAGGCGCGGCCCCTCCCGAGGACAGGGGCACGGCCCCTCTCGAAGGCAGAGGGGTGGTCCCTCTCGGGAGCGGAGACGCGTTCCCTCCCGGGGCAGAGGCGCGGTCCCTCCTGGGGGACGCAGGCGTGATCCCTCCTGGGGCCGAGGCGAGACACCACTGAGCACCGACGGCGGCCACTGGCGTCGGGCGCTCGACGCCCGGCCGGCGGCCGGAGCCGCCGGTGGCGCGCGCGTGTCGATCGAACGGTGCACTCCTGATCAAAGGTGCCAGCGATATCAAAGCAGGCGTCAGCTGGCTGTATGGACCGGTGTCGGCCGGCGGACGGCCGTGTTTCGTGTGGGATTTGCGATATGTGACAAGAGAAAAGTACGCGATGGCAGTAACGGACGAACTGTGCATTTGTTGGCTTAGACCTTTTGTTGTAAATGAACTCTGTGTATGTGGAGTGCGGGCTCTAAGTGCGAAGAATGGCCATGCCAGACATTGCTGTGCCGTGTCGCTGTTCCGTGCTCCTTGCGCGCCTGGCGGACGCGTTGCGCGTGCCGTTGAATACCGCTCGCATCATTCACCCGTGACATTCAGCCTTCGCGCCGTGGCGGCGTCTGAGGCGGTCTGGTCCGCCCCAACTGGCCTCGTGACCTGCTCGCAGTGAGAGCCGGCCGTGTCCCCCCCCCCCCCGACCCACACCCCGGCCCCACATTGCAGGCAGCCGCCGCTGTGCCAGAGGGCCGGTTGTCTGACGCGCCGGCTCCGTTCCAGGTCTGCAGGTGGTCCTCAACTCCATCCTGCGAGCCATGGTGCCTTTGCTTCACATAGCGCTCCTTGTGATATTCGTCATCATCATCTATGCCATTATCGGGCTGGAGCTGTTCAAGGGCAAGCTCCATCAGACCTGTTTCCACAACGTGACAGGTAAGGAGGCTCGTAATGTGTTGTTTGAGATGAAGCACGCCGTGTGCTCTTCTACACGATGGTGGGCTTATGGGGGCAGCTCTTCTACACGATGATGGGTGTGTGAGCCCAATATTGCCTCGGTACTTGGTGCTCCCATAAGGTCCAGTCAACACCGGCATAGCGGCAGGTCCGTAGGTGCTGCTCTCTTGCGGACACACGGACGCCTGGGCGTGCGTGCCCATGTTCGTCATGCGTCGAGACAGCGGTCGTAATGCATGCAAAGTGTCGAGGAAGTGTATGTGACGCGCTGAGGTCCGATCTCCCGCATCGTGGCATTTGAGAGGTGCGCGCGAGTCGTGCGGCTGGCGCGGTCTGGAGCGGTCTGGGGTGGCGTGATCACGAGGCAGTGCCGGCCGGGGGTATCCTCCGGGCTCCGGGTTGGCCGGGGTATCCTGCGGCCTCCGGGCCGGCCGCCGCTGGCGTGGGAAGCGCCTGGGTGTCGTCGGTGTGACGGGCCGCGGCGCCGCTCGCGAAGGTCGCGCGGCGCCGCGGCCACGCGCGCCCGCCGGCGGGACGCAGTGGCCTGCCCTGAGGCAGAGCGATGAGACAGCGCTGGCCTGCCAGCGGGACCTCGGCGCACACGGCTCAGCTCGCTGCTGAGAGCGTTGCGAGCGGTGGGTTCACACGGCTTTGGCGTGGACGTGGTACGGCCACCGGCAGCTGGAGGTGCCCCAGCTTCTCCCTCACACGGAGAGGTGATCGGCGAATGGGCGGGAATCGGGCCGGTCGAACTCGCGGCGAACTCCCCTCCGGGGGCACGTAGCGCGATGTTGTGTGAAGGAAGAAGGCCTGGGACGCTGGCTGCCATCATCCGCGGTCGCCGTTTGCTCCCGGTCAGACAGGACCGCGGGCAATCGGTCGTCCGCCGCATTCTCCGAGGTGACGGGACGCAGGGGATGAGGGGGCGGGACACGATGGCGCGTCGGGCCGCTCTGACCGTCCGGTCTCGCGCCCGTGGGCCGGCCGAGCGGCGCCGTTGCGCGGCCGCTGCCGACGCTCGCCGGACAGGGGCCGGCCGAGCGCACCGCAGCCGTCCCGCCCGCGCTCCGTCGCCGGCACCCTCGCCGCCACTGCGCTCTGCGTGCCGCCGGCCGTCGGCGCGCCGGGCCGGGTGGCTGCCTTCCGGCGCCTGACGCCCCGGGGGTCACGCGTCGGTGGCCGGCCGTCGGCAGAAACTGTGCCGGCAGCGGCCGCCGCCGCGCCGATTGGCCGGATTGATTCGGCGTGCGGCCGTCGCCGCCCTAATGAGCCCGCCGCTGAAGCATTCTTGTGTGGTGCGGCGTACGCGTGAGCCTCTTCAGCGGCCACGGCGCCGGTCGCCGCCCGCCGCCGCCGCAGACTCGGTGCCCTGGTTGCGTCCGTGGGCGCGTCGGCGCGACCTGCCGCGGCGGGATGCGGCGACGCTGGAGCGCTGAGCGGCGGAGCGCGCACCCGTCACGTCCTCAGTTACTGCCGGCCTGGCGCGCAACGGCTGCCGAATGTCGTC